GGAACGTCGGTTGAGAATTGCGGGGGGTAATGGAAAGTGGAAAAAATAAAATATACAGAAGTATAATTTTACGTAGCGTTTGTATGGGTGTGAAAATTGGTCGCTTAGAGCAGTGGTATCCAACCTTTTTTGTTCGCGTACCCCCAGATATAATTTCTCTTCAAATTTGTACCCCCAAAGTTATTGGTATATAATTCAAGTTATACATAGTATATAATCTACGTCTAAAATAAATTAAATAAATTACATTACTGATTATTCAGTGTTTATCATAAAATAATATATATTTTTTTAAATTTCACGTACCCCATAAGATGTCTTCGCGTACCCCAGGTTGAATACCACTGGCTTAGAGGATGTTTGAGAAAAGTGCTGAGGAGAATATTTCAGCGTCGGTTGATGTGACAGAAGGCAAGAGAAAATCGCTTAATGGGAAGCTCCATAATTAGTACTCTTTACCATATATTGTTGGGATCATCAAGTCGAGGAGAATTAGACAGGGTATTAGCGTGTATGGGTAGACGAGAAATGTGTACACAATTTTGGTTGGAATGACTGAAAGAAGAAGAGACTTATCAGAAGATCTGGGCTTGCATGGAATGGATCTTCTGGAAATAGGGTGGGAGTGTATGGTGGATTGGATAGTCTGGCTAAGGATAGGGGCCCATGACAGACTCTTCTGAACACGATAATGAACCTCTGGGTTAAATAAAATACGACATATGTCTTGACTATCTGAGCGTATTGTTAGCTTCTCAAGGACTGTGTCCGACGAAGAGGGAGAGAGAGGTGTAGTAGTTTGCAAAGGCTGGGAATTTGCACCACTTTGGAAGCAGGTTTAATTGACTGCTTATATAAAGCATGAATTTCTCTCCAAGTTTCAGATGTGTCCTTGTGCCTAAGCGCAATGCCATATAGCCGTGTTCGTGGTGTCTGTTCTGTTGCGTCATTTTTCCTAGCGCTCATTTCTCGTGTAAGAAAAGCTTTAAGTGGTTTTGTTTTTATACGTTTAATTTCAATGACAGAAGTAAGCCACAGAGCTGGAAGTTCACGCTTTTCTGCACTGACCTTCACTCCGTATTTGACGTTAATGGTTGTGCTTAACGGTTAGAGATAGACGAATTCATGTTCTTTCCACGCTGTTTCAATTTTCTTAACACTAGAAACTGGTTATGTTTACAGCAGTTGGTTTCACATTATTTTGTCAGTCCGTATTCAGAAGGTTATACATCCAGACGAAAATTATTTGCAGTCTTCCCGAGTCCCTGAAGGCTGTTTGTTGTTTTCAAATTATGATAACGGTGGTTTCTAGAAGAGACTGAAGACTATGGAAAAATCACAGTCAGAATAGCTCTTGTAACGGGCTGGACCTTGTTTTGATGTCCGTGGGCCTACTCTGATTTTATTGTTCCTGATATCTAGCATGTTTATGTTTGTGTACTGGAGTTGTTCTGTTGATGAGGGCTGCGTGAGCAAGCCGTGGTGGAGTTTCTTCAAGGGAGGATGCGATTATTATTAGAGAGACTCTTCAAGGAAGAAGACCAGATACATTGTTAGCGTGTACTCTCTGAAAGAAAAGACGCAATAAAGATACTTGGGTTTCGACGTAGTTGTTTTTAAATTATTCGATCCCCGTGATCGAACCTGAGTTCCCTGAGCTAGCTGGAGCAAATAAACCGAAAGTGTGGTGGACGGTTATACTCTGCTTTGTAGTTATGCCTGCAATGCCCTAGTTATGTATGTAGGAATGCCCATTACACCACAGAAGTGTTTATTTAATTGTGCAGCAGCAGCATGTGAAAGACTAACTCCATGGAGTAGAATTGTTGAGAAGCCGTAACCACATTCAGCTGGTCTATAAATTCCCTGCCTTTTATGTAATCGGAAGGTTCATTAACGTGCCCCCATGTGGAAGACAGCCAGCCATTTTTATTTGCATCGAACTCTAATTTGTAAAACAACTTTCAATTTTACGTTATGCATGCATGTTGAACATTACAGTATATTTATAATATACTTCAGCTTGTACCTGGCTTAATTAAAGTTGCCCATGCATAGCTTATACTAAGGTGAATCATAGAAACAAAGCTGACGGCATTGTTACTCATCAGAGATAGTTCATAAAAAACAGCACAATTAACTTTTGCACTTGGTTCAAGTGAGAAGGAATAGTGTTGTATGTAAATGCACAAGTAGAAGAAAAATGCTACTAAGCATGCAGTCATGTCTCGTCGTTGAAATGTGTAATATAGTCAGAGACTGTTTGTTTGTAAACATTTAAGTGTTTAAAAATTACACTAACAGATAAAAATTGAGGTGATAATAAGGACATTGGTATTATTCAGTTTGGAAGCTCTTGTATCATGTATTTTTTGAAAGAATAAATATTACAAAAGTAGTTATTGTACTCTTTATGGTGCTAAAAGTAGTTATGCTACTCATAATATTGAACTTACACTGTAAAACAAAATTCTAAAAGAATTTCAAACATTTTAATACCAGTGAGTGAGATATGTGAAAGGAAACTACATCTGCACTAATTTTGATGCAGTTGACTTGCCTTCAACCACCTCCAGAGTGTTTGCGTCAGGGTACTATTCATGAATTACAGTGAGTCATCTGAACCTTACCTATTGCTGTGTATGTTGAAATTTCAAGAATTAAATTAGCTTTCATATCTTGGAGGCCAGGAGGATTTCCAAAGTAGTAAAAATAGGGCACCTCCACCAGAGACCTGAATGTGGCTAGTGGAGCTCTGAGAAATGGCTTTGTTGTCTACATAACATTTATGTATAATCTTGTACAGAAAAGAAAGTTTTGTATCTTTATGTTCACTTTAATTAAAGCAGTTTCATTGTAATATACAGTCTGGCCTCAAATAGTTGCATTGCTAAATTTTGTAGCACTGATTTTAGCCAGACACAAGATTACATTTAGATTTATCAGTATTATTAGTGGATCTCCAGCCACCGCAAGTCTGAAAAAAAACCCCCCCCCTGATATTTTGCATTGTTTTATCTGAAGGAGCATTCAGAGTGTGTTCTAGTTTGAAAGCAGTGAGCCCATATTGTAGCGACTGAATGGTATTTATAATTTCTCTTTTGGGACATACCTGAAGGAACAAACTTGAACTCTCCAAACCCATATGAATTGAAAAGGTACTTATGAACTGTTTTAACTAATCATGGCTGTCACTTGAATTTCTAAATGAACTGCCATAGTTATATTGTTAATGCAATTATATAAATAAAAGGTTAAGAGGTTGAGATAAATATTTTGTAGTTTTATGACTACACATTTTCACCTCACTTATCATAAACATAAGATTGACCATGCAAAAAAATCTTTTGAGAATTTGTTCTATAGAAACCTTCAATGAATCATGGTTCAGTTAAGTAAGAAATTGTTTATTCACATTGTGTTGATGATTAACACATGGACCTGATTTGAATCTCCATTTTTGTAACTTGAAATTTTTTAAAAATGGTATAATATTTTTATAACACACAAATAAATGTGAAGATAAAATAAACATTTTCTGTAAGAAAGCCAGAAGGTTGTAACCATCTATTCCAAATCCAGAAGATCGTTGGTGTTTAAGGAAAACCACCAATTAAATGCCACCAGCAAAGTGTTTGGTAAACATTCTGAGTTTGAAGTGTTGTCTGTATTGCTACAAGTCTATTGATCTTTAAACTCATGCATAACCTTGGCTTTTCTGTTTCTGCTAATAATGATGCCTTGCGTCTTGTGGATTGAATGTTTAATGATCTTGTATGTTAAGATTATTTAGCATCACAAATGCCACGTATAATGTATAAACAGAGCACACCAAATTGTGCTGACTGGCCTTCGATATCACAGCTAGGAAAGTCACAATATGTTGATTGCTGTCTTCTGAGTTGTGACACCATCTTGTCTTATAGGTGATTATCAACGTTATGGGAGAACATATCACCTCCATCTTCAGGGTTTAACCCTACATACAAGACTGTATGGCATCACAGCCCAGAAGACAAAAATCAGCATACATATCGCCATGAGAACATTAAATCTCAGACAAGTCATAATTGTATTTGCTTGTTTCGTAATCTGGTTTAGATTGTAATGCTTCAGTGTTTTTATAGGACTATTGTTTCAGCCACAGTAATTAAAGCAGGTGTCTGGAAACCTCTGTGCACTAGTGTTGGTGCAGTTACCAAATATATTGACTTCCTTGCTCTATTACTAATCTTGCCACATGGGGTACATAATTTGTGAAGTGAAAATGCATTTCTCTTAGCAGTCATTTCAGTTCTGAAACACATTTATGTTTACTTAAAGAATTTTTATGTGTGTGTGTTAAATACAACAATTTTTTTTAGGTAATTTTGTATTTAATTTTAACTCTTCAGACATTTTCTTTCAGTAACATTTCAAATTTGATCCACATAAAACGATGTCCGTGTTTGTGTTGTATTTGGGGTATGACTGTCATGCTAATTAAGATTTGATATCTGCCATTTTGTTTCTGTACTATCATTGGGCATAAATGTGAAATTTGGGATGAGAACTATGTGTTTGCTTGCTGAGGGTAAGATAACTTGAAATGCCTATCAAGAAAGCCTTATTATACAGCGTATGGTTGGTAGAAAATAATCCTGGCAAATGGCTAGGAAACCATTGTTGATTGTTGAACTTGAAATGATTCCAAAGATTGTGTAGTGGAAAGGCTACTTCAGCCTTTGAATGTGATGTGTGTGGTAAAGAAAGTTAAGTGTATAAGAAGAAGAATTCTGTTTACTTGAATAAGAAGATCTAGATCTTAGAGAGGAGGCCTAACCAAATAAATTTTGTTTCATTGATTTAGCAACGTAATAATCACGTTTTTACAGCAAAAGAGTTTATGATTAAATAAAGCAGTGACCCATTGTTCATGTAGTAATAAATAGACATTTAAAAAAGACAGATCTCTAATTATTTATTTGTTAATCTGAAAAATGTTTTGGCTTTTTACACAGGTGGAGACGGTAATAAGGTCGACAGGATGGGTGGGCGGCCAGTGCAGGTAGTTGTTAGTAAAAATGACCATTCTTTTGAACTCGATGAGGAAGCGTTGGCAGAAATTCTTCTGCAGGACCATGTTAAAGACAAAACTGTGGTGGTTGTATCCGTAGCTGGTGCCTTCCGGAAGGGAAAGTCCTTTCTACTTGACTTTTTTCTTCGATATATGATAACACAGGTTGGTTTGTCATATGGAGGTAAAGGCACAGCTTTCCTCCATTTTCTTTCACGAAATAACATATATTAAGTAAATTATTGTACTGTTAATTTTTATTCTAATGTCTTAGTTTTTAGCACATTTTTTATTTTTACGGATAGCTGTACTTATATGTGTGTCTGTGTAATATAAATGATACACATGTGTAAGTACAATACTTATTTACAACTGTTCATTAAATGTTACTATTATCTTTGTCACAAAATGTGTGAGAACAGAGTAAAGGTTATACTGGCAGAATAGCAAACATCCTGTATTGTAATTAGTATGGAAGTTACTGTTTTTAATGACTTTAGTGAGTACATATGACGTAGTGAATAATAAGACTTGATTGTAAATGAGGTTAAACTCTATATAAGTACTGACATTATAAGGACCCGTGGAGACAGATAACTATGAAGAGTGAATAATAAATTGTAGAACTGATTTGTTTAATTTACTGTTAACATTTATGATGAAATAGTGGACCTGGCATGTTGCATGCATCCGATATCTCAGTAGCGTAACTATAAATCTTTAGCATTCTTTTGTTTGTAAGTGTGCTCAAAATTAAAATTTGCAAAAATTCACCTATGTGCTTTGAATGCCTGTCCATCTGTTTGGATGTAACAACTTGAGAATACTAAGTGGAATTTCATGAAATTTTGTATTTTGGAGTTTTACTAAAATTTGTCATCACATTCCAGTTTTGTTTAAAATTGGACAACAGTAACAAACACGTCACATGAAGATGGCTGGGTTGTAGTTCTGTATGTTGTCCACAGACCAGGAGAAAAGCCCAGCGGGGGGGGGGGGGGGGGAGTCGGTTTCAGTGCAGTGCAGGGGGAATGTTTCTTCTCAGCTGGACTAGAGGGCTGCTATTAGTGGGAAGTGAGACACGCCACAGTCTTGTACAGGCAACTCTCGGTTTACGAACGAGTTCCATTCCAAGACGTTTGTTATACCTTTTTTGTTAGTTATGTGTATCTTGCATTTCTGAGCTTTTACGATACGTATCGTATACGTTAGCAGCCATTTTAAATCATTAAAACCATATACTAAACATCGAATGGTCTATAGCAGTGGTATTCAACCTTTTTTGTTCGCGTACCCCAGATATAATTTCTCTTCAACTTTGTACCCCCAAAGTTGTTGGTGTATAATTCAAGTTATACATAGCATATAATGTACATCTAAAATAAATTACATTACTGATTATTCAGTGTTTATCATAAAATAATATATATATTTTTTAAATTTCACGTACCCCCTAAGATGTCTTCGCATACCCCCAGGGGTACACGTACCCCAGGTTGAATACCACTGGTCTATAGTATAGACCAGGGGTCGTCAACCTTTTTATACCTACCGCCCACTTTTGTATCTTTTTTGATGGTAAAATTTCCTTACCGCCCACCGGTGCCGCACGTACTGCCCACCACCATGAAAGAGGTACAGCTCGAAGAGTGAGTGATGGCCGGTGGTAAGCCCCGCCCTCATGCGCGCTAAACTCGTACCTTTGGCTACAGAGCTCATTCGTTGCTCCCTTGTCCACGAGTATACTTCAAGAAGTGTCCGGTGAATTATTATCTATATTCAAAGTTTAGAGATGACCCCTGGTATAGACCATTCGATGTTTAGTACATGGTTTATTGTATAGACTCTATACAATACGTTTTATTGTAACGTATATATGCGTTATGGTTTATCGTATATGATGCGTAACATACGCCATGCAGCGTGGCATGTAAACCGACATTTTTTACTGGCTAGATTAGTATTATTAACCAAGAACAGTGCAGTATAATTATCACATAATAATTTTCTGATAATTATTGTAATAAATACATTTTGTAAAAGTTTATTTATTTAATCTTACAATTATGTTCACTATACGTTTGGCATTTCATTTTATAAGGAATGAATTGTGACGTTCGTAAACCGAGAGTTTCCTGTAGTCTGGCAAATGCTTTCACAAGGCTACATGGTGTTGTGACCCAGGAGACAGCCTTCTTTGTACTCAGCCGTGAGAACCTGAAATCCTGCTTTTCATGAAGACATGAATTTCTTTGCATGAAAGTGACCTTGAAACTGCTTTGGTGGGGGGCTTGTAGAGTGATGAAAAATGTGTGGAAACGAAGTGTCAAAACTTCCTGCGGTAGATTTAGAGGATGGAACATGTAATTTTCATGAAGACATGAATTTCTTTGCATGAAAGTGACCTTGAAACTGCTTTGGTGGGGGGCTTGTAGAGTGATGAAAAATGTGTGGAAACGAAGTGTCAAAACTTCCTGCGGTAGATTTAGAGGATGGAACATGTAATTTAGTCATGGAATTTTTACATGATTCTCATATTGATGACAGCTTTTTTTGTTGGAGGAATTGATGGCTATGTTTGTTCTGAACAGGGAAGGCAAGATTGGATGGGCAACGAAGAAGAACCTCTTCAAGGATTCTCTTGGCGAGGAGGTTCTGAAAGAGATACCACCGGTATTCTCATTTGGTCTGAAGTCTTTGTTACTGATTTACCAAATGGAGAACAGGTAAGTTAACCCTTTGAAGGTGAAGCTCTTGTAAATAATATTTAAAGATTCTGTCTGTACCTCAAGGAGATCATTTTATTAATGCTGTTCATGGAAATAATCGGTTTACCCCAAGAATCATTTGAACCCCATAAATTACAGTATTATAGATTGTTAAGGTAGTTGGTACATCTATTTACCAGTGGGCTTAAGGTGTTTATCATGCTTACAGAAAAGAGTTTGTAACAAAACAACACTTATAGATAAGAGTTTGTATCCAGACAGTTAGTTTATTTTTGTCATTTTATCAGTTACTTGTGTTAAATCCCCATTCTCTTATATTACTAATCAGTACAGATGTAACTTGATTATTGATAATTTTCAAAATAAGAATGGAATGAAAATGTTTTGCTATGTTGGTTTTGTGTGCCTCCCCCATATTCCAAAAAGTGTTTTAAATGTTCATATTTGTTCATTACTGGTTTCAGTTGAAGAAAATGTAATAAATATTGTGTTAATGTTGGTTTTGCTATATTAATGCCTGCCTGTACTGGGAATATTAAGATACTAATTAGCCACGATCTCAGTCAGATGGTTAGCATTCTTGAGTCATTTTCAGGATTCCAGGCTTTTGAATCTTGGCCTGTCTTTATTATGTTTATTATTTAATGGTGTTATTAGCTTAGATTACATAGCTTGCATTATAAGATGGGTAATGAGGAATGGATGTGGAAAGGTACTGTCTCAAAAGACCTGTCACAAAAAAAGAACCTCAGGCAGTGTAGCTGGTCTCTGGGCCAAGTCCTGGGACTTCTCAAATATGAAGTAACAGTGTAACATCTGGCCATGATGTTTGGTCTCTTGGCCTGTTCACCAACTATCCCGACTGAGGTATTTGTTCATGAACTTTCTCAGTCCTTTCAGACAAATCGTGGGATAGTATGAAATGGCTGTGTTCAGGGTTTTATGCCACGTAGTCTGGTAGTTTACTTGTGTTTCAAAGTGCTTGCTGCCTCCATCATCAATGCAATTACGGTGGATGTGCTCTCGTCTTTGGGTGAGAGGTATCGACTCCTGTCTGAATGAGAGATGTTAGTTCAGTGATTGGAATTAGCCCTCTTCTAGCATATCTGTCTGAGTAGTTACCCCTCACCTGAACTCCTGATATGTAGTGATCTGTGTGTAGAATAAAGATAGGGTGGGCATAGTATGTAAATATGCCAGTTTAACTGCCAATAAATACCCTTTAAGATTGCTCTGATGTGTGCATCTTCCCTGAGTCACACTTATGCATCACTGCACTGTGCCAATTTGTCTGTTGTTGTTCTTTGGCAGTTGAGGTAGCCTTCCTGGCTTGGTTTCGCCTGACATGTTGCCAAATGTTTGCAAACAGGTTTGAGGCCTCAGTATGATTAACAGTTATCTTCTGGCCATGACATTGGAAAATTTATTCCTGGCAGAAAGTTTCTAATTAAAGATTGATCTGTACATGACCTTACATCTTTAATTTAATTATTTTAATAGGTACAGGAATAATACAGAACCAATATATGTAGTGTAGCTGCAATGAGAGAGGTTTTGTATAGGTATGGAATCCCATGTTTTTTTTACGTGTGCATATTTGGAAATTAGTTTCATGCTCATAGGATCAAGAAATATTAACAGTTGAATGGAGGTATGGGGAAAGTGAATGATTTAGTTATGACATGAATATATCTGTTTTAGTAATAAAAACCAGAAAGCCTTATCTCTATATTAACACTTTCCCACAAATATCAGGCTAGTGTTGTCATCTCCTTTCAGTATTACAAATTGTCTACTGCAGTCTTGCTCATTGCTGGCCAGCAGAAAATGTTTATACAGAAGTTATGTTTAAGCAAGTATTTTTTCTGTATGTTGCAAGTAGGGAACAGACATGTGAACAGGAGGTGGGGAATGGCATTAAAAATCATCACAGCCAGTCCTGTTATAGAAATTTTATGTTATAAAAATGAAAAACAGCCATAAAGTTTGGTTTGAGTTATGTTGTAATAGAATTTGCTACATACCAATTCATGTGCAGAAAAACTGCTTTCTCTTTATTTAACATCTGCCATAGTATCTTTGTTATCTTCATTTGACTTAATTGGTTTTCATCCCACTTTATATGAAGAAACAAGTGTCTTCTACATTGTTTCTTAACCATTATTTCTTCAATAGAGTAAACAAATTGGACTACAGTCCCTTCCATTGTTTTTTCTGTGTTTGACTTGGACTGTGGTCCCTGAAGTTATCCTTCATTACACCTGTTTATCCAGATCCCATTGTTATAAAAATTACAATTCTGTGATAATATTATCTCTTTGTTCAGTATAGCTTACCTATCTTGCCATTGGTTTCAGTGATGGCCAAGCTCATCTGTGGCCTTTCAACCGCATTCTTTAAGTTCTGTTTTAACATCATATGAAATGGAAACACTGCTAGAAGTAGTATTTTAATAATGTGCCAATCTTTCCTTGGCCTCTGCACACAGTTTTATTTAAGTTTGGACAATTTGCAGCCCAGTAATAATTATAATGTTTTGGCATCGATATGAAGCAAATTGGACACCTGACCCTGTACCTCCTAAACACAAGGCTGACACACCTGTGTCTGTTTAATACATACATTATAAAATTTCACCAATAATTGTGGAAATGAATTCTATGTGATTTTATGTATCTCATTGGCCTTGATTTTTGTTACACAGCTGATCACATTACAAATGTCATATTGCACATTCATGAATTCCTTTTATTTGTATAGATGGCATATTGAAGATTGTTTTGAATTGTAGTCGTAGGTCTTTGTGAGGTTTGTGTTTTATGTTATGCAATAATTTGTATGGTGACTTTTGGCGGGAGGGAAGTAATATTTAAGTTGAACATTAAGAACATTAGAGGTGGTTAGTTCCGTACGAATTGAAATAAAATTTCCTTTACAACTTTCGTTGTTATTAAAATCTGTCAATTTTATTTTCAAGCATTACACTAGATATTTACAAAATTAATCTTTATTCAGAAGTTTGTATTTCTGATCAGTAGTCATTAGAATTTATAAGGTGTGATACATTTTTTGCATAAACAGTAACACTTAAAATTTTTTTGCATTTACAGAACTGGCCTGGAAGTTGAAGTATACTTGAAGAATGAGCTTACTCAATTTTTTCTTTATTTCTATCAGGTTGCTGTTATTCTTATGGACACTCAAGGAGCCTTTGACAGTGAAAGTACAGTGCGGGATTGTGCTACTGTGTTTGCATTGAGCACAATGTTGAGTTCCGTCCAGATTTACAATCTCTTGCACAACATACAAGAGGATGATTTGCAGCACCTTCAGGTAAGCAAATTTGCTGGAGTGATCATTCTTATCATCTCTGCTTAATGTACAGGGTGGCGCACGAAATGATACCTGACTGAACGTTTAAATAAAAGCTTTAATATTCATATAATGGTACATATATATCTATGAACACAAAGAACAATTCATGGAGATTTATCCTTTATGGATTACATGTTCAATATGACCACCGTTCTGTCGTGCAACTTCCGAAACACGAACGGCTACGTTCGTAATTACTCGACGGCAAATTTCACGATACATTTAACCAATCAAAGCCCTGAGTTGCATGACTGAGGCAGGGTTTTTTTTTGAAACAGTTTTTCCTTAAGGTAACCCCAAAGGAAAAAGTCGCAGGGGTTTATATCCGGACTATTGGGTGGCCACTTCTGTCAACATCCGTGGCAAAGCAGGATATCGGTGGGAAACCACACGTGGACCGAAAGTGTCGTGCAGGAAGTCCAAGACAACATTTGCTGTGTATGGTGTAGCCCCATCTTGCATAAACCACTGTGTATTTAACGGCAAACCAGTTGCGATAAGCTGATGCACAAAACTGTTACGCAGCATGCTCAGATAGCGCTTACTTTTCACAGTTTGATCAAAGAAAACTGGTCCGATTAGTCCGTGGCTGGAGATGGCAACCCATACTGTAATTTTCGGTGCATGATGCATTTTCTCGGTGCGCACACGCAGATTTTCCGAAGCCCAAAAGCGCACATTTTGCTTGTTCACTGCACCATCCAAGTGAAAATGTGCCTGATCTGAAAACCATACATTGTGCATTGTGACTTCCTCATGCTCTGCCCACGCAGCAAACTCCAGTCTGTTGTTTATCACGAGCAGTGAGTCCATGCACCATGTCATTTTGTATGGATACAGATGCAAATCACTCTGCAAAATTTGCTGCACTGATCGTCTGGATATTCTTAATTCTGCCGCTGCCTTCCAGGTTGATTTTCCCGGGCTTCTTTGCATGACTACTCTGACAGCGTCAATGTTCTATGGGCTACACACACTTGCGGCACGTCCACGTTTCTTTTCCAACACTGTACCATCCTGTTGAAACTGCTGATGAAGTCTGTGAATAGTTTTTGGAGCAGGGGCCCACCACATACCAAAATGGGCAAGAAACTGTCTCTGCGTTTCCACAACACTTTTTGTTTCCGCAAAAAATAAAACTGAACCGTAAGTCTTCCCTTGTCTGCCATCTTCTGCATACTGGCGTGAAACCACGACATAATCACCTCGTGTTAGCTAGGTGATGCATTTGCCACCTAATGGTATCTCCATGAACTACTGCACTTACCCACATGACAGAAAACTTCATCCGTAACGTGGTTGCTGATTTATCATTCAATCAAATAGGGCATCATTTCGTGCGCCAACCTCTATAACACTGACATTTGGGAATGACTCTTAAGCCTTTTGTGCAATGAATCAACACATTTCCTTTTGATACTAATCTTGTATAATAATAAGATAATGTTTATGATGATGTGTGTTGTGCATAAATTATTATTACCATTGTCATGGTAATGCTTTTATGGGATTTTCATCCTTATGGTTTGCATTACTGACTCTAAAACCACGCCCTCCTACATGTGGCCAGTGACGTGTAAGAAATTGTAATGCCTAAAGGGCAGCTTCTCACTGAAGATGATGTCGTAGATATCATTTAGTGGACACTATCTATTGTCGTAAGTTCTTTTGAAATAAATTTTTTTGGAAACTGGCTCTGCCTTCATCATAATCAGGTTGGTTGCAGTTTTTTCATAATGCAGGAAAATGAACTGATATGTGGTATATTGTTAACCAATTTGAAAATATTAATTACTAGAATTAATTGTAGGGCCTTGTAGAAATGAACAGAACATTACATTGCATTTCCTTGGAGCGTAATCAACACTTGCTATAAGTGGGGTTTCTTTTTCAGCTTTTCACTGAATATGGTAGGTTAGCACTGGAGGATGCTGGACACACACCCTTCCAAAAACTACAGTTCCTCGTGAGAGATTGGAGTTTCCCATATGAAGCAGACTATGGAGATAAGGGAGGAGAAATAATTTTGAATAGAAGGTTACAGGTATAATATAATGACATCACACAGAATGTAAACGCTATAATTTTCAAGTGCCTGACCCTGCTAATATCGTGTGGGGTTAACTGTGCCCCATAAGGATATTTCTGCTGATTACATTTAAAGTAGGGCCCTGACATCCAACCACTTTCTTTATTTCTCATATATTCAGGATATTCTTTCTCTTTTGGCCAGTAATTCCAGTTCCATGTTTCATAAGTAGAAAAACACACTGGGGTATAAGTGTACCCCACTTAGTGCTTGGTGTACCTTACTTATCTAAGATGGGTGAAAGTGGCAGGTCTCTGAGCACTCTGAATACAGCAACATTTATTGTCTTTGTTATTAATTTGTAACATCTTATTGTTTGTATACACTTTGTGGATTATAAGGACAATTCTGATACAGCCAGATGTACTGCACGAATGAAATGGGATACAGGACAAAAAAATGTTACCATCAGACAATAAACAGCTGGTGAAAATGTTCCATATGAAATACTTGTTCATCTGCAGTGGCTATAACAATCTGTAGAAAACCTTAAACATCCTAATTGTATGTACTGGAGAGTAAAATACGTATATTGTTAAATAAACTGGGCACATGCACTCCATTCGTCCTTTAGTGTTGGATAAAACATTTTATAACAGAAGAGTGCACAAGTATTTGTACACATCATGTCAATTGGAACATGAATCAGATTATAAATACTCATGAGACTTATTGTACCAATTTCAGATATCAAACAAACAACACCCTGAGCTCCAGTCGTTAAGGAAGCACATCAGGTCATGTTTTTCTGGCATATCCTGTTTCTTGATGCCTCATCCAGGACTCAAAGTGGCAACAAATCCAGAATTTGATGGAAAATTATCAGGTATGCTTCGACCAGTCAGGCTATTTCTATTTAAAACATTGCTTGTGTATGGCATCTTCCTTCAGAAATGTTTGCATTTCAGTATGTGTCTTTGTGATATTATAGTAGTGTAATATAATATACTGAAGAAACTGGGGTTAATAAGTACGTAGAAAGCTGTGAAATAATCGTATGAACAGATGCAGGGAGCAAGAACAGGTGAAGTTTATGAGTTTATTACCTGACGTAATATTAATGTTACTCTTCAGTGCAGCCAAGGAATGGGGATGAGGAATTTTAAGAAATAAGAAAGTTTATGCAAAGATGAACAGTATAGTTATAACAGAAAATACATTTTCATTATTTTATCTTGTTTCTGTGATTACAGTCCTAATTATTTGAAACATGAGGTTCATTAATGTATTGAAGGAGATGTGGTGATCTAAAAGTTAGTGAGGTCTCAGGTTTCAGACCATCTAGATCCCGTGTGGATGATTTCTCTCCATGCCTTCTCACCTCTGATGAAGTCAAAAGTTTATGAACGTGGGAAATACCACAGCGTTGTTCTTGTATAAAATTGTGTCAGGCTAAAATTTACTTTTTTGCTGTAGTAATGTGGCATGTAGAAATTAGAACAGTGTGTAAGGTTGGTATTAACCCGTCGACGTGGTGGTTTAAATACCCCGCATATACCGCTGTCGTGCTGTTCCTGCGGTAGTATTTTTTAAATGCCCGTTTAAATTTTGCTGTTAAATACTCTTTTCTTCATAACTTTTGAACTATATGAGATATAATTATGAATTTTTCACTGAAATCCTCTTAAAAGATGGTT